ACACAACTGGGGACAGTTATCCAATTACCCCAAGTGTATAGGGAAAGTTGAGCCCAAGATTGAGGTGCAATTGTGAGATTCCATGTACACATAACATGGAGATGTATGGTAAATGGGGAGAATCATAGCTGTTATTGCACAAGAAGTTTATAAGAGACAGCCAGTTCATTCAAAAGGCAGTAATTCCATAACGCCGTGCATGACGGTTTCCTCTAACAGAACCCTTAGTTCTGATAGGTTGACCTTCGGAACTCTAGTTGTCACTGCTGTATACTCTCATGGAGTTTTACTACCAGCAGCTCTCAATATTTAATGATGCAAAGATGTGTTACATTCTTTTATGTTGCATTTGTTTAACTCTGTGAAGCTGTGTTACTTTACCTGCCTAAAACACCTAATTGGTCTAATAAAGAGCTGAACAGCCAATAGCTAGACAGGAGAAGTGATAGGCAGGGCTGCCAGGCAGAGAGACTAAATAGGAGGAGAAATCTGGGAAGAGAAGAGAAGGAGAGGAGGATGTCAGAGGCCAGCCACCCAGCTACATAGCCAGCCATGGAGTAAGAAGTAAAGAAAGGAATATAGAAAGATAAAAGTCCAGAGGCAAAAGGTAGATGGGATAATTTAAGAAAAGCTGCCTAGCCGGGCAGTGGTGGCACACGCCTTTAATCCCAGCACTTGGGAGGCAGAGCCAGGTGAATTTCTGTGAGTTCGAGGCCAGCCTGGTCTACAGAGCGAGATCCAGGACAGGCACCAAAATTATACAGAGAAATTCTGTCTTGAAAAACCAAAAAAAAAAAAAAAAAAAAAAAAAAAAAAAAAAGAAAGAAAAAGAAAAGAAAAGCTGCCTAGAAACAAAACAAGCTAAGGCCAGGCATTCGTAACAAAGAATACCTCTGTGTATTTATTTGGGAGCTGGGTGGTGCAGCCTCCAAAAGAGCCAAAGAGCAAAAAACAACAGAGATCCACCTGCCTCTGCCTCCCAAGTGCTGGGATTCACACTGGCTTTTTAAATGGTTTTTTGTTTGTGTTTGTTTTTATTTTCAGTGTTTTGCTGGCCTGTTTCTGTGCACCATGGCATGGATGGTACTCATGGAGGCCAGAAGAAGGTATCAGATCCGCTGGTACTGGAATTACAGACAGTTATGAGTCACTATATGCATGCTAGGAACTGAACTCTGCTCCTCTGGAAGAGCAACCAGTGCTCTTAACTATTGGACCATTGCCTCAGTCCCAAATAAAATATAATTAAAACAAAAAAAAAAGAAAGAAAGAAAAAGAAAAAGCCTACCTAATATAGCCTAGCTCTTCTATTTGAAGTAGTCTAAATTTTTAAAATTTGTTTTATTTAGTTATGTGTAAGAGCTGGAGACTTGGATTCAAGTCTCAACATCCACATGGCATCTCACAACCATCCTAACTCCAGGTCCAGAAGATCTAACGCCCTCTTCTGGCATCCACAGACACTGTACGTTGTAGTGCACAGACATACGTGCTGGCTAAACACCCAAACACATAAAATAAATAGGGCTGGAGAGATGGCTTAGTGGTTAAGAGCACTGACTGCTCTTCCAGAGGACCCAGGTTCAATTCCCAGCACCCACATGGCAGCTCCCAACTGTCTATAACTCTAGTTCCAGGGTTTCCAACACCCTCACACACACACCCTTGCGCGCTCGCGTGCACACACACGCACATACAATAAAGCAAATGGCAGGGCGGTGGGGGTGCATGCCTTTAATCCTAGCACTGAGGAGGCAGAGGTAGACAGATCTATGTGAATTCGAGGCCAGCCTGGTCTGCGGAGCGAGTTCCAGGACCACTAGGACTACACGGAGAAGCCCTATGTTGAAAAACTAATTTAAATAAATAAAATTTTTTGAAGAGGTGTGGGGGCACTATGTGTATGTGTGGTTGTGTGTATGTGTACATGAATGTATCTGAGGGTGGGTGCTGTGTCCACAAACAGGCTAGAAAAAAGGGGCATCATGCTTCGTTCTCTATCACTCTATCCCTTTGAGGCAGGTCCTCTCCCTGAACCTAGAGTTCGAGTTCTTAGACTAGGCTGGAAGTCAGAGAGCTACAGCAATCCTCCTGACCTCAAGCCCTCTCTAAGCTGGGCTTACAAGTGCACTGGCTTGTTTCCTAACTGCTGAGATCCAAATTCTGATTCGCATGCTCAGAAGAAGCTCAGCTTAAGTGGGACGGACCAGCTCCGGGGCGAGGGGTCGGCTTCCCTGAGCCCTGCTCTGATCTGTTTGCTCATCGTCATGCTCTCTCTTTGTTACTAATCCACCTCTCGCCCGACTCTGCTCTCTTCAGCACATTCAGCTTTTTGTTGTTATTTTTGTTTGTTTTGTTGGGACAGGGTCTCTCTGTGTAGCTCTGGCTGTCCTGGAACTTTGTAGACCAGGCTGGATTCAGAGATCTATCTGCCTCTGCCACCAAAGTGCTTGGATCATAGGCATGCACCGCCACCACCCGGCACAATCCAGCTTTTACTATGTGAAATTTCTGGGGAAATTTCGCATGGGGGATAAAGGAGCTATGCGTGTGCCATCCCCAAACACAACTCCAGCCCGTTGACTATTTTACACTAAAAACATCTTAAGGATCTGGTGAGGTGGCTCAGTGTTTAAGAGCACTAGCTGCTTTTCTAGACGACCCAGGTTCAGTTGCCAACACCGGTGTTGCATTTGGAAGGTAGAGGCAGGAGAATCTCTGAGTTTGAAGCCAGCCTGGTCTACAGAGTTCAGGACAACCAGGACTACACAGAGAAACCCTGTCTTGAAAAATAAAAAAGGGAAAAAAGAAAAAGAAATACTGGGGTAAGAGGTGTTGGGTGTTGGGACAGACCCTTCAGGAATGCTTTTTCCATGGGGGTGAGTTAGTTTGCTGGACTCCCATGACACCATGTCCTTCCTCAGGGGTGTGCCTTCCTTGCCAGAAGCAGCGAGGATTCAGATATGATGCTTTCCCTACTCCAGAATTCTGAGCCCAAACAAGTCTCTTTCCTGTAGACAGATGTGTATCTTAGAATGTATCTAATAACGACGGCTCATACTCTGCATTGTCTCTGTGGGCTGTGATTTACCTAGTAATTGCAGTTCCCTGTGACAGATTGACTATTGTCAATAACTTCTTTCCTCTTAGTCCTAATTAATAATATTAATTCTCAGAATGCTCCTTAGAGGCTACAGACTTCAAAGAGGAATTACTGAAGGACAAGCAGAGAGCCAACACAGAGGCAAAGCAACACGCAGGTGGCCAGTTGAAGAGGATTGTAGAGCTCAGCTATACAAGTGCAGGACCCTCAAGGAGAGGACCAGGGGTCCAGAAGGATGGATGGGTGGATGGAAAGCTTTTCAAATGGGCCTCATCAAGCAGTTGGAATGGGGCCATGCCGAGCCGGAACTCAGAGGATACAGATTTTCTGCCAGTTGGTCCTTTGATGTGTTTGGATGACCGGTTGGTAAGACCATTGCCATGACAGTGGGCTTCTTTTTATGGGGTCTGGTAGAGGTGTTGCACTTTTCCTTAGTCTGGGGTGTTTGGTGAGTTCATGGGACCATTTTCTCTCACATGGTTTTAGTATACCTGTGTTCCCAAGTGTTCCAATCTACATTGGTTCATTTATAGATGGTGCCAGTCAGTGACTTATGGGTGGTGCTGGTCGGATAGTGGTACTTATATGCACAAAGGAGATGCAGAGTCATCCTGTGTCTGCATTTACACTCCACACGGAACCTCCCAGCCTGAAAGGCGCTGTCTCACACAAGTTAAACACGGTAGTGACTCAACAGTTGGAGTATGGCTCCAATCTCCACAGTTACCTAGCCTTGGGTGTTCTGTTATAGCAATAAAAAAACAGACTAAAAAGGAGAAGAATGTCCTTCTTAGCATCAAGTACAGAATGTTGAGGCCAAGGGAGATCTGCACGAACCACCTGAGCATGGCGGTCCACACCTGTAATCACAACACTGGGAAGATGGACAGACACAGGAGACTTGGAAGTTTAAGCTAGTCCTGGTTCCACAGAGCTCGAAGCCAGCGTGGGACATAGGAGAGCCTGTCTTAAAAAGAGCTGGGGAGATGGCTGAGTGGGTAACAACATTTGCTGAACAGGCAGGAGGATCTGAGTTTGAATCCCCAGTCCTTAAGAAAGTAAGAAAACTGGGCAAGGCCACATGTTCAAGTACCGTGTAACCGCAAAGCAGGGTGGGGAGGGTGGCAGAGACAGGGTCTGGCTGGCTGCCAGCCTAGCTTTAGTTTTAGAGAGATCCTGTCTCAAGGGAACAAGGCAGAAGGTGGTGGAACAGGATACTCACCTCCTCCTCTTGCCTCTACATGTGCATGAGCACACACATGTGCACACACCCATTTTAGTCAGGGTCTCACTGTAGCACAGGCTAGCCTTGAACTCAAGGTAATCTTGCCTGAGTTGTGATTACAAGTATGACCTACCACACCAGCTCCTCAGGCTCCTCAGACTCTCAGGCCTAGTCATAACAAACAAAAACCACTAAAAGGTTAGATGTGTTTAGGGATAGGATTTTACCTTGGTATCTTTCTTATTCTGAGAATTCTTGCTAACACACCTTGGCTTGTATGTGTCGGGTGCAACAAAACTCACGCATCATCAGCAAGCCAAGCAGAGCCCCTCTGTAGAGTTTGTGACCCCCATCAGGCCAGTGGGGGCGGGGGGAGGTCACAGTGCCTCAGCCTGTCCCAGGCCAGGGAACTGACTCTGGCTTGCAGCCAGGTATTCTGTTGTGTGTTCCTGGGACTGATTGGCAAATCAACCTAAGACCTTCCTCACTGGGGTTGGATTATTCCTCTTCCTATTGCTTTTCTCCCTTCTTCCTGTTTCAAAAGATCAGCAAACATTAAGCAGGAATGTACCCTGGTCCCACCCTTGTGTGCAAGCTTCCTGGTCCTCTGCCCTTTCCCAGCCTGACTGAGGGTCCCAGAGTCCCCTGCCCAGGAAACAGCATCTGCAGCCCTTCTTCTGTCTTACAAACTTTATTAGTTCTGGGAAGGGGGACAAGCAGCTCTTATCTCTCCCGCCCATTACTGTTTGCCATTTCCGTTGATGGGACGGTTTACATGGTCGGGGGAGGACAGGAAGGCCTTGATCTTGGGCCGGGCACTGAGACGTGCCACATAGGCAGAGAGCAGGGGGAAGCTGTCCAAGCAGCCAGGGGCCAGGACCTGGTGGATCAGCAGCAGGTCTAGCAAGTTGTAATCGGCAAAGGAGATCTGCAAGGGTGGAAGGTGTGGGTATCAACAGGGGGAGCAAACTGGGCTAGGGAGCAGAAAGCCAACCCCCCACCTCCTCACCCTCACCCCCACCCCACCCCGCCTCGGGTAGTTCTGCTCCATTTTACAGCTGGCTCCTAAGTCTTTATAAGGCAACACAGGAGTTGCTCACCTGGTCACCCACGATGAAGGCTTTACCTCCTTGGTTCTGGGACAGCAGGGTCTCAAAAGGCTTCAGGTGTCCAGGCAGGGCCTTCACATAGTCATCCTTGCCATCCTCCTGCCCGAAAGATACCCAAAGCTGTACCACCCTCCCAGTGCAGTGGGCACTGGAATCCTGCTGCCCTGTAATGAATTCTACCCTCTCTGGATATACCCTACCCCCAGGGACATGTCCCACCATTAACTACCTCTTGGGCTGCCTGGAGACAAGAGCCCTAGCCACGCCTCTGCCTGCTGCCCACACCCAGGCTATGACCTGGTCTCATTCACTTCAGTTGCTAATTCTTTCCCACTCCATTCTACCATTCCATTTCTGCTAAGATCTCCCTGTATACCCTAGGCTGGCCCGGACAACTCACCATGTAGTACAGACTTGGCCTTGAACTTGGAGTAGTCCTCCTGCCTCAGCCTTCCCAACTACTGTGATTGCAGGGGTGTGCTACCACCCCCAGCTAAGATCTGTTATCTTTATTACTGGAAAACTCTCAGAGCTGGTTCCTCTGAGGACCATTCTGTGCTTCACATTCAGATTCAGCCTCGAACAGACTCTTCAACAGCTCCACTGCCCCGCCAGGTCCAAGCCAACTGGTTCAAAGGCTTGAGGACCTGGCCTGCTGCCCCCAGCTCTGTTTCCTCATGTTCTGCCCCTATGACACACCCACACACTTGTGGACTTCCCACCTGCCACCACCAGGCCCTCCCACTCCTGAAGCTGTCTCCTGGTCCTCTTGACACTGCCCCAGCCTGCCCCAGCCTGGCCTTGGAGCTCTCAAGGAGGGAGGGAAAGGATGGGAGTCAAAAGTGCACAAAGCCCCTTTGCTTACACCCCCAACCCTGTGGGGGGGGCAGACTCACATATTTGGTGTAGATGAGGGTGACATATTTGCAGCGAAGGTCTTCCACCCCATCATTCACCATATCCACCAGAGCAGCCTCCTTCTGGTCTTTCCCATAAAGCCCTGTGGGTCAGGAGAGACAGCATGACTGACATCTGATTTTTCCACCTCAGCTCCCTTCCCCCAGGCATATTATGGCTGTCTGTGGGTCCCAGTCTGGGAGGGAGGGGGATATGGGCAGTCATGTGAGTGGAGAGCTCATGAGAGGCAACAGGAAGTGATGGCAGGCAGGCCACAGCTGCAGCTTGAACAAGTATGATCTCTGTGTGTCCCTGCTTTGCTGTCTAAACTGGAATAAAGTGGGAGTGGCTGGGAGGGTAGATACCCTGAAACCATGACTGATGCCCCCCACCCTGCCCACCGCCGGACCACCTGAGGTTCAGGACTTACCAAAGGATCGGCCCAGGTGCCTCAAGATGGCATTAGATTGGTACAGGGTGAGGTCTCCATCCTCAAACTTGGGGAGCTGCCCATACAGCTGTGGGGAGGGGCAAAGCTTGGTGAGGCTGCAGTCTCCCAGTTACAGCCCTCTGAAGGCCCCACCTGTGGTCCTCCACCAAGTATGTCACTCACACAGGAGGACTTGAGCAAGCCTTGCTTCCAGGTATCCACGGTCACCACCTCCTCCTTCCAGCTCTGGCCCTGGTCAGCCAGCAGCATGCGCATGGCCTCACAGCGCCCTGTGTGGAGGGTCAGCGCAAGGGTTTGGGGACGGTGTACAGGCCCAGCCTCAAGCAATTTGGGGTGGGGGGCCTGGGCACAGTGAGGGAGGCACAGCCTTGCAACAAGAAGGGTCAAAGATGAACTGGAATTTTCCCAGGGTGGATGGGAACGGTGGGCTGCAGCCCCTACCAGAGACCTCCCCTTCCTGCAGTCCCTGGCTCCTACCTCGAACTGGGAAGTAGACAATGGTGTACGGCGGCACTGGGGATCACAGGAGAAGGATGTTAGTTGGGAGAAGGGGGCTGACTAGGGTTCAGAGTTGTGCACCCTCCTGCCCCATCTCCCGGATCCCCTCCCTGCTCTGGGCTTCCCAAGACCTCCTGAAAGTCCCCCACCCCCATCCCCCGCGCGCCGGGCTCTAGGTGCAAGCTGCCCCGTTCAGGAGCTCTGAATTCCCAGAGAGCCCAGGACCGGGCCAGCTGCATGCTGGTAATCTGGGGAAGCAGGACAGCGTGGACTCACTGGCTGCTACGTAGATGGAGGCACGGACTCCTGAGCTGCGTAGACGTTAACGGATCTTGGGTGCTGAAAGCGAGCACAGGCCCCAGGGCCGCCAGCCTTATAAGGGGCATCGCGCCCCGCCCCGGATGCTGAGTCAACAAGGTGGAGGGAAAGGGGGGGTTGCGGAGTTCCGCAGCTGGTGCCTCCGACCGGAGACACTCACGAGCTGGACCCGAGTCTGCAGCACGTTCTGGGTTCATTTTTGGGTCAAAGGTAGGTCCTGCTCAGAGAGGGGTGTGTCCAGCTCCCTTTCCCTTTGTACTGGAGCTCGACAGCTTTTTGCAGCATCTATCCAGCTCTTCCTGCAGATCCCACCAGTGAGTAACCTAACTCACCAACTTCCTCCTTTCTCCTGTGCAAAGAGCCCATTTGACTTCGCCAGAAGTAGCCAGAAAATTGTGATCCTGGATTCTCCATTTTTTGATCCTGGATTCTTCCTTTTTGAATCTGAGGAGCTTCAAAATGAGAAGAAAAACGAAGCGAACGGACAAAGTTGCGGTTGTATGTCAAAAACCTTCACAGTTGGTGCTTCCTCTACTTTCTGCCTAGTTCTTTCGCCCTTCAGAAATAACATCTGGAGCTGGAGAGATGGCTCCGAAGTTAAGCGCCCTGAGGACCCAAGTTCACTTACTTCCCAGCTCCCACATGAGGTGGCTCACAGCTGTCTGGAACTCCAGGGCCTGAAGGATCTGACGCCTTTGGCTTCCTCGGCGCTTCACTCATGTGCACAAACACAAGGACACATGCTTTTAAAAAATAAATCCTAACGAAATAAGCATCCGTCCCCAAAGGCTACCACACACAACCTCACTGTTAAACACATCCAAGTATGTGAGCACACATACAGAGGCAGCCATGCCTCCTGTCTTTCCTCAGGCTGGGGGCTGCTGCTTTCTTCAAGCTACCTTTCTCCCTGGCATCTCTCCGCTCTGCGTCTCCCTGTGTCAATCAGGACTTGGACTATGGAAGCAGCTGTGGATGGCTATGTCTGTGTCTTACCCTTTCCTCCCCAACCCTGCCTGTCACTGTCCTGGGGGGGGAGGGCAAACCGCTTGACCACACAGGCAACACTTGGACCCAGGAAAAGCCATAAGCTGACCCCACCCAGTGGGGCCTGCATCTAAGAGGAAACATCTGACATTCCGAACATTCCCCATACTCCTAGACAAACGTCAGCCAACCTGGGTCCTGAACCCTCAAAATCCCCTCACCCCAACTTCTGCTGTGATAAAAACCCCACCGTGCCTGGGCTCTGGGCTCTCTGCTCTCACAGCTGCATCAGACAGAGTCCAAGCTCTGAGCTTGAAAATAAAGGCTCTTTGCTTTTACATACGGGGATTTGGTCTCTGTGGTGGTCTTTTGGGGGTCCCCGAGCTCTGGACATAACACTAGCTGGTGTCTCTGACCCCTCCTCATTTCTCCCACTCTGGTTACTTCAAAGGAGCTCAAGTCAGCGTCTCATTTTGGACTGAAAGAAACATTCTGCACCCTGGCTTTGTCCCTGTGCCCTGTGTCCCTGTGGACCATAAATATTGGCCAGTCACTCCCTCTTCCCACAGCACAGGCCGGGCCTTTCTGCCCCTGAAGTAGAGCACAGACTCGCGAACGGGGCTGTTAAGATTTCCTGGATTCCTGCTCCATACTGGACCCAGGTCTGAGGCCCTCTGTTCTTGCAAGTGTCCATCTACTCCACTCTCACTTCCTGGCTGTGTCTGGGATGCCCCTGGGTGGAAGTGCTGGTTCCAGGATTTGTGGACCCTTGATTTGCATAAGTAGAACCAGGTGGCCCTCAGGAAGAGATGTATGTGCCTCTCCAAACCTCTTCCCGTTCTGAGCTCCCTCAGGGCCCACTGTTCATTACTGAGGATTTGGGCTCTTCCTGTGTTCTTTGGGTTTTTTCCTCCCCTTGTGGAAATAGCGTTTTCCTAACTTTGGGCTTTGTTCCTTGAAGTTCCTGCTCTCTGTTCCTAAGCATGAGGTCTTCTTCTATCCTACATTTTCATCTCTTATTGATTTTTTTGCTTTTACTTTTTTATTTATTTATCTAACAAAGCTCAAGAAACCTGACGGGCCTTGAACTCACTATATGGCTGAGGATGACTTTCAACTCCTGATCCTCCTGCCTCCACCTTCTGAGCACTGGAATCACAGGCTTGTGTCACCTCCTCGGGTTTGTATGGCACTGGAGCCTGAACTCAGGGCTCCATGCATGCTAAGCAAGCACTATAGATTGGTGAACTTTAGTTTATCAGGGAACTCTGCCTCAATTAAAAAAACAAAAACAGAGCAATTGAGGATGATGGCCTGGTGTCAATTCCAGACCCCTACACACATGTGTACATGCATTCATACACATGCAAAGACACACACACGGATATCACATACACATGCAAAAGAAAATTGATCTGAGCTGAGCATAATGGTGCATGTCTAGAATCCTGGTGCTCTGGAGGCTGAGGCAGGAGGATTGTGACTTCAAAGGAAACCTGATCTATATACCGAGGCTCTATCTAAAATAACTCCCTAAGATGCTGTGGAGGGCAGAGAATTCTCTGTTTTTACCAGTGTCATGGAAGGAATTTCTGCATCCTCTCCAGCAGGAACAAATCACATCCCAAGGAGAGATGAACTCCAGTTCCAGAAACTGCATTCTCATGCCTGTGACACTGAGAAAAAGCTGAAACTCACAGGAGGAAACAGGTGAAGGATGGCCAGGAGCAAGGAGGTGGGTGAGGATGTGATAGTTTTATTGCTGAATCATAGTGAATCGACTAGATTGCTGCAGTTCATCCGTTTGCCAGATGTAGCTCACTGGAGCTCATGGAGAGGCTGGAGCCAGCCACGCTAAGTGGTTGTGTGTTGGCTGAGTAAACAGCGGGGCTCACCAACGAGTATGAAAATGGCTGAGTCCTGCAGGAAGAACAGGTTTAAATAGCTGAAGAACACGGCGAAATAGCCGAGACAATGAGCCGGTGCCCTTAACAACCCTACAATCTGCTGACGATTCCGTAATTTTCTTTCCTGCTTGTCCGCCCCACCTTGTGTTTTTAGAGTATAAAATGAAAATACAAACTGGACCCAGAATCAAAGCCTCTTGTGAGCTATCCTGGTTTCTCTCGGAATCTCCTCCCTTGCACTCTTATTGACACTGGAGTGCTTATTCCAGAAAGATCCTCACATTTCTGGGGTCCCACCCAGCGAGATCTCCTTCACCAATTGGTGGAAAGAGGCTGCAGCTCCCGGGACCTCTCAGCCCACCGAAGGTCTCAGGAACTGGGAAGGGCACGCCCTCAAGGGGATTCCCGGGTCCCCTTCCAGTAGCTTAAAGGAACTGTAAAACCCAGGACCGGAATCTCTTGGTGGAAGAGGAGACTAAACTAGGCATCCGGACCAGATAAAGTCGCCCGCATTAGGAGACAAAATTAATAAAAACAAACAGTTTAAAATGTAACAGTTGTGGGCTTTTTGTTATTGTTGCCTTGTTTCTGGATTTTTGTTTTTGAAACAAGGTCTCTCAATGTAGGGTAGGCTTGCCTGGAATTTTCAGTAATCCTCCTGTCTCAGGCTTCCACATGCCGGGATTATAGGCATGAGCCACCGTGAATGACAACCATCACGGTTTGTCAAATTTGAGAAGTCTGCCTAATCTAAGAGAGAGGGAGATCTCTGAGTCAGGCGTGGTGGGGCACAGCTGGACTACACCGGAGGCCTGGAGAACGATGCTGTGTTCTGTCTCTTGGTTTGTTACCACTTAGAAAACGTACACCATGGTTCTGGTGTGACTTCCCTGACAGTCTCCACTGCATCTGCCGCTCACCGTTTCATTCTGCAGTTTAAGCGCCTTGAAGTGCTATGTATTTGTTTACTGACCATGTCCACTCTGACACAGGTGGGCCTCAAACTCTCCAAGTCGTGGGGCATGACCTTGAACCTCTGATCCTCCCTGCTCCTGCCTCCCTGGGAACGCAGGGTGTGCCGCCACACCCAGTTTCTATGGTGCTGGGGATGCACATGCTAAGCAAACATTATGCAAAGGCCCAGCACCCTTGATCCCTTGATTTGTATTTTTTTTTTTTTTTTTTTTTTGGTTTTTCGAGACAGGGTTTCTCTGTGTAGTTTTGTGCCTTTCCTGGAACTCGCTTTGGAGACCAGGCTGGCCTCGAACTCACAGAGATCCGCCTGCCTCTGCCTCCCGAGTTGATTTGTATTTAAGACAGGGTCTCGGGATGTTGCTTAGGTTGGCCTTTGGCTCCCGGGCTCTAGCCATCCTCCTGCCTCAGCATCCCATGTAGCTGCAACCAGTGCCCCTTACTGCAACCAGTTTTTTTTAGCCATCAGTTTTATATGGCAAATGACTGTTATTCACTTTCAACTCTGAAAACTTATTTATTTCTTTCTCTACTTACTGTGTTGTGTGAAGGCATGCCACAGCAGGCATGTGGAGGTCAGAGGTCAGCTTGTAGGAGTCAGTTCTCTCCTTCTCCGTGGATTCCGGGCACTGCAGGTGGTCAGGTTTGGCCGCGAACCTCTTCGTCTGTTCAGCCCTCTTGCTGGACCTTCAACTCTTACTTTTGCATCCACTGTTTCTTCTGTTTCGTATTAGTAACTGTCCTTTGGGTGCTTCTGTGTTTCTAGAATGTGTGTTCTCTCTCTCTCTCTGTGTGTGTGTGTGTGTGTGTGTGTGTGTGTGTGTGTGTGTGTGTGTGTGTGTTTCTGCCGAAAGGGCAAGACATCTTCTGGGACTTGTGAGCCTGTGCCCCTGGTGGGCTTGATTTAGTCTGTAATTGTTTACTTTGTCAAACTATGGTTTACTAAAACTCTGGTTTTAGTTGCCAAACAAGCCAGCCTATGGCTTCAAGAGGGAAGAAGCCAGGGAAATCTTGTATGCCTCCATGTCACCCCCCAAGCAGAGACCCTGGGGGCAGGGAGGAAGCTTCTGGGCTCTAATGTGTCAGTCCTAGGGCATTTAAGGGGAAAGCATGAGAGAAATTCCTCTGCCCCCAGTGCCTCAGCCCAGCAGTCTGAGGCTGTCCCTGGGACTGGGAATGCCCGCAGCTGGGCTGG